TTTTGAAAATATTAAACAAGATATTTATAGTTTATCACTATACCACTATAGCCAATTTAGGGCACATAGAAAAAATTATTAGATCACTATTTTTTTTAAAATCAGAACAACTGCTTCTTTTAGTAGATGAAGGAGGGACTTTTTTATTTGGCAAGAATATTGTAAATATTGTATAAAAACAGGTTTAATTTTTATTGTTTTTTAAAGAAAACGTATTTCCAATTACATTGTTTTTTATGCGGTTGAAAAAATGATGCGGCCAAGAAAAAGAAACATTTTTTAAAATTTCCGCATCAATATTTCCCAATTTTGTTGAAGCGGGCTGGAGTGATGATCTAATAATTTTTTTTGTTGTATAGGCATAATTATGATCTGTTCATTGTGCGTTCGATTTGGGTAATGATAAGAATGATAGGAGCACTGTATGATCAATGTGCGCCAAAAGAAATAGATGATCAACATAAAAAGTATGATGCTGTTTAATTGTACAATACTGCTATTGTTTCTAAAATTTGGTGGAGTAATGTAGTTCATGTGGTTATCATTGGAAATTTATTGATCTATTAGTAAATTCTATAATCTGGTTGTTGTACGCATATAGACATATTTTTTACATTTTTCATTTTATTTCTTTATTCATGTTCTTTGCAATTCATGACATAGTAAACTCAACCATACATATTCAAAAACAGAGCGACGAAAAGAACCTCCACAAAACTCTTAGGAGCTTTTAAAATGGAGACCCGGTGTTAAAATTAAAGCTTGTTTAAACATAAAGACAGTATATAACTGCCTAACTACAAAGATACACCACCTCTCACCCCAAAAGTCATATTTATTTGATTTACATTTATTTTGAACATTGCCATTAGGACATTGTTTAAATCCACAATAGCCTATATTTTACACTGATTGTACTGTCGGCAATACCAGATACGTTCATTCCCATTACATTATGGTCTTCCATTTCTATAGCGCATAATACAGTGCATGACAAACAGTTGCTTTTTGAATTGTACTCCACAAATACCGATACCTCGCACAACTCGTTAACGTCTCGTATCTATTGCCGTGACGTCATGGCTCGCTGACTCACACTTGTGATGTCTCGCACTTGTGATCAAATAACACTCTGGCTCGCACTTTGGCAACACTCTTTGGCAGTCAACTCGCCCCTAGAAAACCCGCCCTTGGAAACTTGCCCCATAAAAAAATGTAC